ATATGAAAAATGATTTTTAAATAATAGAATTCTAAGAGGTTAACAATCACCACCACAAAAGCTCAGTCTAAGAGGCCAGATAATGAGTTCCTCCGATTGGGGCAATAACGGGAAGGATATTGTGAAAGCATCATGTAAGAAATTTTTCCAGAATGCAAAGGATCAGATTTTCTACACAAAAAGGGTCCACTGAGTACCTACAATGCGGCTCAGATTCATCAATACGCATATCACTCTCAATCTTTATACAATTTCAGGACATTGGGGAAAAGTCCTAAGAGCGTCTGGAAAGGGAAAAAAACGGGTTACATACAAAGGACCTAAGAGATCACATACAAAGGAATAAAAATGGCATCGTACTTCTAACAAGAAACACTCGAAGCTAAAAAAGATCTGAACAATGGCTTCAATTTCTGAGGGAAAGACTTTTCTCTCTGAGAAGTCTCTGAATCTCACTGGAAACTAAGGCAAGGATAAAGATATTTTCAAACATGCAAGGGCTCAAATTAACTTTCTCTGTGCACATTTTTTTCTGTGCTATAGAGTAACTATAGAACGTTGTTGAAGTATATATTTCATAAGAAATGAGGAAATAAATTTAGAAGGGACTCAGGAATCAGGGCATTTAACACAAAAGGGTGTCAAGAGGAGACTAGAAAAAATCCAGTTTAGGTTCGAACAGAAGGAGTGAAGATTTCAGGAGAGATGTTTCAAACACACACGTGTACACACATGCACTGATTTCTTTGTAGTCAAATACATGAATTAATTTGTCAGGTCTTATGTGCATGTGTGTGTGTGTGTGCAGGAACATGAAAAAGACCCACATCCTCATTCTTCATGTTAAGAAACCAAAAGATATTCTCTAAAAATTTTTAGAACCACAAAGTAGCAGTAAAAACTCAATATTTAAAATATGCAAATTACATAACAAATAAGCATCATGTGAAAGCATTCATAATGGTGACTAGACCAAATAAAAGGAATCTTAGAGCTTGATAGTTTAAACACTGGGATCTTGAATTAAATAGCCTAGATCCAAAGCTCAAAAATGGCAACTAACTAGGAGCTACTGTCTTAATATCTGTAAGTCTGTTTTCACATGTATAAAATGGGAATAATGGTACCCACCACAAGCTCAGTCATCTGGGTTAGGAAGGGTCATTTGTATACATAGCTTAGCACAATGCATAGAATATGATGAACAGCTAATCAATGATATTGTAGAATATGTGGCAGATGTTTACACAGGCACTAAGTGTTCTGGGCTAGAAAGATTGGCAGCGAGGGCTAATAGTTTTTAAAATAGGTAGCTGAAACCTGGGAACTTTAGAATCTGACTTGCTCAGCCTCACAGAAGTCCCAGAAGTCTATGTGACATGTTCCTACAAATTCTATCATCCTCCCAGGGATAAATTACAAGAGAAAGCCTTTTGGAGGCCAACAGCTATAGAGAGGGAAGGGGCAATCAGATGGAATTGTAAGACCACCTTGGGAGCCAGATGGCTTTCCTTTCAGTGATGGGACTGAGGCGCACTGAGCAGTGGCCGATCACATGATATTCACCTGGCAGAAAAGCTTAAAGTGTATGTTCGAAGTTTCTGAACTGAGATCATGAGCTCAAATTGAGTCAGCCCACAGTGTGAGGTTCCCACGACACTGACCACTGCAGGATTTGAATAATATTATGAGAAAAACCGGAGCAACAGTAGCTTGGGACAGTGAGTCCGAAGCCACCATTCAACCATGTATGAGCAGCAAAGGCAGCCACCAAACATCCTCTGCTACCTTGGAAGTCCTCCCGACATTTACAATTTTCACTTATTTTCTTAAGTGCATTACAAATTCAAGCGCATTGTTGTTTACCAGGGAATATTCATTGTAAGTGAATTAGGGAAATATCTTAAAAGAAACAAAGGATTGGTCTTAACATTGGAATTATGAGTGACCCTTATGAATCTAATTGTTTTCCCTTCTGTAGATATCAGCAATGCCTTTTATCCACGTTTGCATTTGCATATGCTCACGACACACTCATTTGTGTTCTCTGCATTTACCGACAATCACTTCATGACACACCTCCTAAACGATTGAGCAGCCTCACTCCAGAGAGTGCAAACCAACCTATTCACACCCTCTCCCACATGCCATGAAATGTTCATGAGAAAGAAAAACAGATCTACTGAAAGATGTGATTCAGGAATCTAATTGTCAGTCCATTTTTATTGCCATAAATTGAGATTTGTCTGGGCATCTTGCCATGTTTTTGTTTAATCTGCTGTCCCTGTATTCAGTTCTGATTTTCCATTTCTATCATTCACTGATGTTGATTTTGTTATCACTCTGCAAAGGACTTGCATATGTTTCATTGTTTTAAAAACCGAATATGTGGCTTTTCCCTAGGGAAGGGCTGCAAGAAGCAATATATTTATATAGCATTTTGTTCTATTAATAACTCAAGACACAGAATGCTGACCATGTTGGACAAAGGGTTATGGATTTAAAAAATATTAGCGTTTTGATGTAAACATAAATGCCATCTTTTATTTATTTAATAAATGTTTATTAATAATTCAATAAGTTGCCAAGCCCTAGGGATTCTGCTATGAGCAAGATGTCTATAATTTTATGCCAGCATCTAGGGGCTTTAGATTAATAATAGATGAGCAACTTTCTGAGGCCACCAACCCATGACAAAGTATGGTTCTCAAACGCAGGGAGAAATCAGTTAGTCTGTTGAAGGGGTTGAGAACGCTGTCAGACGCTTACACGTAATGGTAGCAGTTGCTGTAATAGCTCTATGCACGAAGTGACTGAAGTCAGATGGGAGGAGGCTCCGTAACCCCAACAAGAGGTCTAAGACATGACTTTAGAGGAGGCAATGCTTGCAATATGTTTGCAGGCTGAAGGAGAAATCCAGAATTGGGGAATGGATGGAAGGCCATTGAAAGTAGAAGTAGTGCATGTGACAAGCCAGGACTGAGGTAGAGCTGCCCCACAGCCCTTCAGGATGGCCGGCACAGGAGAATGGAGGTAAGGCAGGAGAGGAAATATGTCGGCAAAAGAAGGCTCGCTCTCTCCCAAGGAATCCCACTGGGTGGCGTTCCTTATGGCAAAGCCGAGAATCTTCCTTTGGACAGCACCCCAAGTAAGGAGAGCTTGGCTTCTCAAAGAACCCCCTCACTCTTCTTTAGTCAGACTCAAAATACTGATATGTAAGCACCAAGTTAATCATCTTATTTGTAATGAAAAATAAGTCTCATGTGGGCTCCTATGCTTGTGTAAATATGGACATCATCACCTTTTCCCATAGGAGCACGTATATAAGCAGACAATTAAAATTAGAAGCTTGTTTGAAGATGGCAGAACCAGAGTCATGGGATATTGAATTGATTCACATCTTGCGGTCATTAGGATAACATGTGTTGATCCATTTGCTCTCACAATCAAATAGTTGTGTTTTGTCTCTTGTTTAATCAAAGGAAAAACTCATTTCATTTTTTTAACTTTTATTTTAGGTTTGGGGGTGCACATGAAGGATTGCTATATGGGTAAAATTGTGTTACGGGATCTGTAGTAAGTATTATTTCATTACCCAGTTATTAAGCCCAGTACCTATCTTTTCTGCTCTTCCCCCTCCTCCCACCCTCCCACCTCAAGTAGATCCCAGTGTCTGTTGTTTCCTTTTTTGTGTTGGTAAGTTCTTATTATTTAGCTCCCACTTATAAGTGAGAACATGTGGCATTTGATTTCTATTTCTGCGGTAGTTTACTAAGGATAATAGCTTCCATCTCCATCCATGTTCCCACGAAAGACATAGTATCTTCTTCTTTTTTTTTTTTTTTTTTGAGACAGAGTCTCACTCTGCAACCAGGCTGGAGTGCAGTGGCACGATCTCGGCTCAGTTCAACCTTCACCTACTGGGTTCAAGTGATTCACCTATTTCGGCCTCCTGAATAACTGGGACTACAGGTGCACACCACCATGCCCAGCTAATTTTTGTATTTTTAGTAGAGACAGGGTTTCACCATATTGGCCAGGATGGTCTTGATCTGTTGACCTCATGACCCAAAGTGCTGGGATTACAGGCGTGACATACCATGCCTGGCTGATACCGTTCTTTTTTTGTAGCTGCATGCTATTCCCTGGCTTATATGTACCGTGTTTGCTTTATGCGATCTGTCATTGATCAGCATTTGGATTGATCTGATGTCTTTGGTATTGCAAATAGTGCAGCAATGAACATTCATCCAATCCCATTACTGAGCATATACCCAAAGGAATATAAAAATTTGTATTTCATAGGCAAAGGCTTCTTTTTTTCCTATGAGAGTGTTTGGAAGGACTTCAGTAACTCCAACTTTTCTTCTATTTATTGTGAGTGCCCGGCGGGGCACTAATTATCTGGAACCATATTTTCCCTTGTAAGACAACTCAGCTAATTTGTGGCTAGTCCAAGAGTTGAATACAGATTTGTTTTCCAAGCCTGTGTAGTATCTATGCTTCGATAACAAATACACTTTCCTTCTCGTTGGTATATCCTTTACTGATATAAGCAGCCCAGATAGCAGAATTTGACCAGGGTTTAAAATACAGATCTGTCACTTATTAACTGTGGAGCCTTGAACTCTTTGAGCCCCAATTTTTTAGACAGAAAAAGAGAGAGGATATGTGTCTATATATACATATATATGTATATACACACACACACATACACCTATACACACACATATGTATAGTATGTACTACAGTATGGTTTTTAATACACAGTATTTCTTTTTATTATTATAAATTAATTACAAATAGTTCACTTGCCAACTTGTTATTTTGCATATATCCATTTTCATTCACTAAATCCTGCTTTCTTAGTCTGTCTCTCAAAGGCAATGTCATTTCCTCTATTCTAAGTTTCTGGAGAAAGCCTTTCTGAAAACCTTCTCATACTGAACATCCCCTAATACAGTTAATGAACCAGACTGTAGGTGATCTAATACATCTACCTGTTCAGAGTGTCTCCCCAGGAAAAAGGTGAGTGATATCTCCTGTCGACTCCTCCTAGAGTGAGGATAAAAAGGATTTGTAACTTTTTAGTACATCTTGTTTTGAAGGGTCTCAAAATGTCTTAAATATAAAGTCACATCAATTCTCATAACCCCAACCTTAAACTGGTACATAAGGTAAAATCGCAAAGTAAGGTCAGTAGTAGTTCCTTGAAAAATCAGCCCCATCGATAGATGACTCTCATTGTCACTGTAAGGCAGTAAGGATTGATAGCAATTTGCAGAAATGGGGCTTAGTTCAGCAGACAGAACATTGAGCACAAATTCAGAAGCTAGTCACAGTTCTATTAGTCTGTGCAGCGTTTTGAAAGCCAGTACTTTCTGGCTATTTCAGTATCATCGGGCTAGTCCGTAATCTACTAAAAATCTACTCATTTGGGCATTAAGTGCTTGGGAAAACAATACTTATTTGTCCACTAAATCCATTAAATCCATCTGTTCTTTGGATCATGAGTAAGTAGAAATGGTCTATCACCCTAGACAATGGTGTGTCGTTTTTTTTTTTTTTTTTTTTTGTAGAAAGTATTTCAGTCAATAAATTCGATGTCAAGTCTAGATCATCATCATATCTGGTGCTGTTTTTCGTGGCTTTTGATATGTAAGCCACGTGGGTGCAGGGACTCTGTTATTCAGCTTTGTGCTGGACACATGCTCGCTCAGAACATCTTAGGTTACTTAGGTTAATCAGAACGGAATCTACAGCTGAAGCAGACCCTAAGCACTGCCAGAAATATAAAGCCAAATAAAATATTTTCGATGAAAAATAACTTGAAGGCCAATTCTTCATTCTACAATTGAAATAAGCCCGAAAAGTCAAAATTTAGTCAAAAGTGACAATAGAAGTAGGACTTGTAAAAAAGGCTACGGTGGCTATTGTACAACCATAGCATTTATCTAACCCCTGACCTAAGCCTGCAAAGTCCAGACTTCGTAAAAAATGACAATAGAACCAGGACTTGTAAAAGAGCTACGGTGGCTATTGTACAACATTTATCTAACCCCTGACCTAAGCCTGCAAAGTCCAGACTTAGTCAAAAATGACAATAGAACCAGGACTTGTAAAAGAGCTACGGTGGCTATTGTACAACATTTATCTAACCCCTGACCTAAGCCTGCAAAGTCCAGACTTAGTAAAAAATGACAATAGAACCAGGACTTGTAAAAAAGGCTACAGTGGCTATTGTACAACCATAGCACTTATCTAACCCCTGACCTGTTTCTGTCTTATTCAGAGTTGCTATTTGCTGACAATGGTGCTATCAGATAATCTCTCTCATATTTATGGTCTTCCTGGACCTTTGCTCAGGAGGCGCAGCCTTGCTCACAGTTGCTGCGTTTCCAGGTATGTTGGCTGCTGCTGTGATTTTGTTTGAACTTCAGCTTCAGTGAATCATTAAAGCAGTTTTTGGTCTGCCCTACTTGCCTGGCCTAAAGCTTACAAAGAAAGTACTATTTCTTTTACTCTGGATCATTTTGAACTTTGCCCAGTCTTATGATTTGCTGAAGTAAAACCAACACAATAAAAGTCCCATCTAAGATAAAAAGAACAGTTATTACCCATGTTTTATATTAAACCCATATCTACTTTCCACATATATGCACATTCTGAAGCTATTCCCATATTTCTTAATAGCAAAATCTCATATATGAAGAGAAAAACACCGTTCTGTATTTGCTTCAACAATAGACACAGGTAACAATTCTCAGCAGGGTTATTATACTTGATCTCATTCCTTCAAATCTTAGCTATTATAACCAATGTTGATCATCTTAAACAAGAATTTTGAATTATACTTTTAATGAATGATGCCAGAATACTGAAGGTAGTTGTGTGTCAATACTGAACAAACGAGAGAAAAATCAAGATTTTTCCCTTTTCCTTTTTTCTTCCAAAGAACAGTATTGAACAGTCTCCCTCAATGAGATAAGCTCCGTGTCCACTTTCTAAGTGGACTCCAGTGTATTCGGGATCCTCAACACTTACTGAGTGAACCTCTGAATTCTCAGTTCAATTGCAATGTTAATATGGATGGATAAAATTCTGGCATAAGCCAGGATTATCAGGCTATGCTGCAGTCACAAAAATCAGAATCTCAGTAACTTAGCACAATCGAAATTTATTTATTGCTTAAGCTGTGGTCACTTTGGGTGAGAAAGATTCGCGAAGGTATCTGCACCCCACGAAGGGCTCAACGATTCATGAGGGCTTTGATCTCCTGCAACCATTGTATTGACATCCAAGTTCATCACTGCCGTGGCAGAAGAAGGAATGAAAATGCTTCAGGCCATAATGACCCATTCCATTTTCACTCACAATCTACTGGTCCATTTCATGTTATGTCTCTGTCTCACTGCAAGGGAACTGAGAATGTGTAACTCCCTTATCCCTAGAAGGTAAGGAGAACTGAATATAGAGTAGCACGATAAATCCTGATTATATAATCAGTGGTGGTTGAAAATAGCTAAGTGGAAATCGTAAATCCATTTATGGTAGCATTTACTCTTCCCTTAAATTGTGCTCTGAAATACACAACCGATAATATCTGATATGACCATTTCCAACATGCCCTCGGGTTGTATATAATCTTCCTTCTTTAAGTGGGAGATCATGATTATGAGTATTGAGTAATATAGAGACCAATGAATACAGGTGCTGAAGTGTTAAATAAACTATGTCATGTTTCTGAGCTCAGTAACACATAATTAAGCCTCTTTTACATAATAGTTTTAAGCGTATTTGATATACTTTGCATTTTACACGATAGGTTTTAGCATATAATCAAGTTGGCTAATACTTTGAGTTCTTACTGGCAGCACATGTTTGTTAAGTCTGCTAAAATATATTAGAGTTTGGAATTCATTGCTAGGCCCACTACTGAATATTATTTTTTTGAGCCAAGAAGACAAGCAGGTACATTTTGCATCACAGGGAATCATTTTGTGCAGAATTAGTGAGAGATAAAAATGTGCGTTTTTAATATAGCCCTTGCTTGAGACTTACCAGTTGTACAGTGCGGGGTCTATGTGTTATGATGCTTGCATTAGCATTAACGTGGAAAAATGGGAACTATAAGTCAAAAACATCCTTGGCTTCCTCTCTAAAGTGCCTATTTATATCTGTTTAGTTGAGAGACTGAAAAAAATAAAATTGGAGATTTGAAGTATACTGAAACTTTCAGACTATTTTGTAAAAACCTGGGTCTCATGGTGGTTGAATTTTATAAAAGCATTTTAAATATAAACAAAAATGTATGTTTTTCAAGTTAGTGTCATATCCACTATTCTATTATACATCTGGAAATGTTATTAAATACACACAATAGACCAATACAAATGATGTTTTTGTAAACAAAAATGATTATTTTGTAAAAAATCAGCAAGTGTTTAATTCTAATAGTGCTTGTAAGGGGTTAAATTCATTCTTTATGATTATTGTTCGGCACTAAAAAATGGAAAAACCCTTCTAGATTTTGTTTAATTGATTAGAATATTTTGGCGGTAAAAATATAGGGTATACTTGCTATGCACACTTTTTTTATTAGTGTTTTTACAGAAAATTCCTGTTCCCTAAACAATTTATTTTTATTTTTTTGGCTTGCTGTTTTTGTGAGATAAGTTTTTCTATAAAGAATATCAGCCTATATTACAATAATCATGAAGGTGAGTTTTGCTAAGTCTATTCCTATTTTCAATTCTGTTGTAATATTGAGAAATATATCAGTAAATTATCATAGTTTTCCCTAAGTTCACCAGCCTTTTCTACTTCTATACATGAAACATGTAGGTCCTGACCATTGCTCAAACATGCAGCCACTACAGCCCAAGCTTAATAATGGGAAAGAAATACAAGTTTTAAAAGTATGCTTCTGAAATATCTATTGGAAACTATTATAAATGATGATGATAGTCAGACTTAGCCTCAAAGGATGGCATTGTCTTTGAAACATCAGTGAGCTTGTCTTCATGTTTGCCAGTCCACAAACTCAGAATTAAAAATAGTGTTCCAAGGCTTTGAAGTTTATTGACACCAAATTCACAAGAAGCTGATACATAAACCAGAATATTTATTTGTTCATTTACAGTTATGTTGGGGGAGATCTAGTTGATATTTCTAGCACTCCTTTCTAATAATCTGAATGATATTCAAGGACATACGGCTTTCCATTTATAATTTAAATGGGAAAGCAAAATGTACAAAATGACAACAAAACATAAAACAACCACAATATATTTCAAATGTGAGTGCTGCAAAAAGTCACAGCCATATAGAGGTTTGTATAGAACAGAACTAGAGCAAATTATTTGAAGGAGGTGTGTTTAATTTATATTTGCTTTTTATTAATTTAAAATATGGGACCATTCTTTTTCCAGTTATAACCATTATAAAACTAAAACAAATTAGAAAAATGAGTCATTATTGTCTATACACATAAAATTTCAAATTATTCAAGCATGCTATCATCCTCAAGTCTACCACACTCTCTATCCTTCATCTCTAGATCTCCCTCCTTCTGCTGAGGCCTAATATCATGCGTTTGAGGGGGAAAATCTGGGTTGTTGTTTTTTTTAAGTAAAGGGAAAATTTATTGGCTCATATAGCTATAAAGTCCATGGTTGGTGAAATTTGCATTTAAGCCTGACTAAATCCAGAATTTTAAACAATAATATCACACTATCCATCTTGTGGTTCTATTTGTATTGGCATTTCCTTTCCTGATGCCCTCACTCTCTCATGCCATAGACAGGAGCTCAAAGCAGCTTACTCAGTCTTGGTGCTAACAGCCTGCAATCGACAAGGTAGAGATACCCTGTCTCTCCAGCATCTACATTTGAAGTCTTGGTGGAAGCTCTTATTGGCCCAGCTTAGTTTACATGATTATCATTTGAACCAATTACTAAAGATAAAATATTGGAATAGCATGATTGGATAATTCCTGGTCCTATCCCCATTATTGTGATTCAGAGGCTAGCCGTAACCATATGAGATGGGTGGGG